ATTTTTCAACTTCTAAAATTCAATCAAGGAGGAAAATCCATCACTGGACCACCGTTGGGACCCTGTACACCTTCCAGCAACTCCGAGAAAGAATCCTGTACAACTACGTAACACCCAACTACACTCAACATTTCAACCGAGCAAATGGAAGCACCCGCTGTACCAGCTGCGTTTTTGTAAGTATGCTTAGGTAATTAAGATCGTGGTGTTCGTCTCCTATGGTATATGCATGACCATAGTATATAGTAATAAGTGAAGAAAATAGTCGTGTTAAGTAATATAAGAATTTTTAGGAACTTTGAATTTTCGTTTCAACAAACCGAAATTGTGTTGAATTTACAAGCGTTTTAATAAAATAAATCAATAGTTTTTCAAGGATTAAAATAAATAACATTTGAATAAAATAATAATTTATTTTAAAATAACGTGGCCAGTTACTTTAAATAAATTAAATTTTTAACTTTAAATTAAATTAAATAAAATTTTTATTTTCAGGTATTTTATGTTTCAATCATTTTAATAGAATAAGATAGATATTGTTCAGTACTTTAAGTCATTTCTAAATAAAATAAAATAATAATTTTATTTACAATAGATTTATTCAATCATTTAAATTAAAATAAATTAACAGTCTAAATTAAATAAATTTTAACCATTCTAATAAAATAAATTCATTAACATTAAAATAATTTAAAATAATAAATTAAATTAACATAAACTAAAATAATAGTTTAAATTAAATAAAATTTTTAATCATTCTAATAAAATAAATTCATTAACAGTAAAATAATTTAAAATAATAAATTAACTTAAAATAAAATAAAATAAAATAATAGTTTAAATTAAATACAATTTTTAACCATTTTAATAAAATAAATTCATTAACATTTAAATAATTTAAAATAATAAATTAACTTAAAATAATTTTCAATCATTTAATAAATTTAAAATAAATTAAAAAACATTTTTCCATCATTTAATTAAATTAAATTAAAATAATAATTTAATTTTAAACAAAATCTTCAATCGTTAAATAGAATAAAACAATAATTTTATTTTTACAATAATTTTATTTTACAATAAAATTATCCAATCAGTTAAATAATTTAAATTAATAATCCAATTTTAACTTAACATAATAAATTAAATTTAAAATAAATTTCAATCATTTAAATAAAATAGAAATAGCACTTTGATTTTAAAATAATTTTCAATCATTTGAATAATTTAATTCAACAATTTAATTTAATCATTTAAGTAAATTAAAATAATAAAATTTAATAAATTTTAATCGTTTAGTTAAACAATTTAATTGTTCGGGATTTTTAATTTTCATATTCAAATATAATTTTTCTGATTGATTAATTATAGACATTTGTACCTACTATTTAAATTTATTTAAGCTGAACAATTTCTATTTTACGCATCAGATTATCGAATTCAATTGTGCTGATTATTATAATAATTTGAGTCAATTAATAATTTTATAGAATAATAAAATTATTTTAGGAATAAATATAGTTATTGAAATACAACGGAAATTCAATTCAGTTATTTAGAGAAGAAATAAATTAAAGGCATTGTTTTATTTAATAAATTATTTCAGATAGTAATCAATTTGAGGAAAATTTATTTTAATAATTAATTAACAGTTATAGTTGAAATTATTTAAGAAGTTTTCTCTAGTTAACAAATTCCATTCTAGAAGCAAGTCATTGAAATAGTTCGTGCTGATTATTATAATAAATTAAGAATTAATTAAGAATAATTTTAAGTAAAAGGAGGTTAATTATTTACTGTTGAATATGTGGTGAATATATATATTGAGAATTTATTGAGAATTTTATTTAAAGGCCGTGAAGTAAGTCCTTGTATTTTGTGAATTTATTTAGACAATTGATGTCTGTGTTGAATTTTATTGAGTTTTATTATAGGCCATGTTGTAAGTCCTTTTGTTTTTGAATTTTATTGAGTTTTATTATAGGCCGTGTTGTAAGTCCTTTTGTTTTTGAATTTTATTGAGTATTATTATAGGCCGTGTTGTAAGTCCTTTTGTTTTTGAATTTTATTGAGTATTATTATAGGCCGTGATGTAAGTCCTTTTGTTTTTGAATTTTATTGAATTTTATTGTAGGCCGTGTTGTAAGTCCTTTTGTTTTTGAATTTTATTGAATTTTATTATAGGCCGTGTTGTAAGTCCTTTTGTTTTATTTGAATTTTACGACAGTTGAAGTCGAGTTATTTTATTGAATTTATTATAGGCCGTGTGTAAGTCCTTTTGTGTTATTTGTGTTATTACGACAATTGAAGTCGATATTATTGAATTTTATAGGCTATGCAGACGTGCATTTTAAGTCCTGATATTGTGAATTATTTGAAGACAGTGAGTCTATATTTTGAATTTTATTTTACAAGGCCGGAATAAGTCCTTATGTGTTGAAAAGAGTAGGTTGATTTATAAAAGGAAATTTTTAATTCAATTAATACAGTAATAAGAGTTACTATTTTAAATAGATGTCGTATTGGCTGATTAATTTGAATTAAGCAAAAAAAATTAGAGTAACTAGTTAAATTAAATTTTAATTTTAAATCGTATTGATTAATTAAATTAAAATTAAATCTAAAATAGGCAAGTTAAGTTAAATTTTTATTATTAATAAAATTACTTTAAATAAATTATTGAGTAATTAAATTGGATTTAAGTATTGAAGCAATCGGGTTGATTGTAAATAATTGGTAACGATTGTTATTAATTATTTATTGTTAATTGTTGCTGATTTATTTTGATTGTTTGATTATTTGATTAATAATTTACTGTTTATTTTACGCACTATAGTTATTAGTTATTTCATTAAATTTCATTAGAGAATTAATTATTGCGTACGATTTAAAATGTTGTACACTAGTGTGTCAGTTGCACTTTAATTCCGTTTTCATTCATACTATTACATTAAGTGATTATGACTATTGATTAATGAGTCAAAAGGATAATAATACTAGTTTGACTGAAAGTGAATCTGAAGGTATACAATTAATCGATCAGGAAACTAGGGAAGTAGTAGTAATTAAATCAACAAGTTCTGATATAATTAATAACGAGGATAGTGAATCGAGTACAACCAGTTCGAAGGAAACTGATAACGAACCAGTTACCGAAACAACAACAGTTGACGATAAATAATTATTAATTGATTTAAGTACCGAAGAAGGTTATCAATATTCCAAAGATTTCGATAGGGAAAAATATTTAGAAGCTATAAGGGAAAAAGATTTATTGAATACAAGCATACGACCGATAATAGTAAACGAAACTGAGCTACGACAGATAGGTACTCGTACGCAGAAGGGGATAATACATACGCAATTAGAATACGTTAAACGAACCAAGAAACCCAAAATGCCAGGAAAGATTCCATTAGATAAAGCAACCCTCATGATCCCTACATGTACTGGCGAACGGGACGTTTACCAATTCATAAAAGCTTGCGAATTAGCATGTTCGGTAGTAGAGAAAGAAGACCTACCCATACTCACGAAATTTATTAACACCAAGTTGTTCGACCAAGCTTTAAATGTGTGTCGATATAGGGACACTAGCGATTGGGAAGGTATAAAATTAATTTTATTAGACGCTTTCGAACCTCGACAATCCACTTCTTCATTGCAGGTAGCATTAAATTCAGTACGTATGAGAAGTAACGAAGACGTAGGTGCATATGCGCGAAGGGTAGAACAATTATATTTCAATTTATGTGTAGCAAGTACAAAAGGTAAAACTACAGAGCAGGCAAATACAATCCGCGATCAGTTAAAGGAACAGACATTGGTAGTATTCATTAAAGGGTTAATACCTAGTTTAAAGACCATTGTAAAATCTCAAAAACCACCCACTTTAGAATTAGCTATTCAGGTTGCTAAGGACGAAGAGACCGAAATTAAGTCCGAGTCAGATGCATACCAATATTATGGAGGCAATAGTTCAGGTAGACAAGTAAACAACTCCACCAGGGATACCAATAATTCTAATAGGTGGAATAATAATTTTAATAATCGTTATAATTACAATTCATCCAATAATAATAGACCTGACATAAATCAAGGTAATAGTTACAATTCGCGTCAATCTAACAGTAATAATTTTAATCACAACATTCGCAACAATGATTATAATTGTTTGCGCCGACGATCCTGACTAGCGGTTGTCGTCTGACACACGGTCCTCGGGATAAAGGCGGGGCAGGGCAAATGTTAAATAACAACAAATTGAGTTTTAAGTATACAAATATTGGCATGTATTGAATCTTACATGCACGACAAGTTAATTATATCAATCAGTACACAAGTTACAGGGGGGGAAGGGGAACACCGACTGGCCTGTACTGCTACGAAGTGGACTGGACTTGACGGCTGATGGCTGAACTGCTGATGGAACGCTGAGCTGCTGATCTTCTCGTGAAGTGGTGACACGAACGTGTGTACCGGTGGCGTTGTGCTGCTTTCACTGCGGGTGTGCACCTGAACGCAGGGCAGCGGGCTGACGACTACAGCCAATCTCCTCGTGGAGCGACGGACGATGAACTATTGTAATAGTTGAGCGTAGAACAACGGACTGTGTAGCAACAGTAAAACGGCGTAGGACAACGAAGCACTTATTGAGAAGTAACGCGCGTAATGGCCGACGAACATGAACGGCAAAAACGTGGTTTTAGCGCGGACGGTACAGACGAGCAAGTCGGTACCCGTTGAGCTGGAGCAAGCAACGACCAGAGCGAAAGTGTTACGGATCACTGAATATTACGACATAACGAGTGTAATGGCCGACGAACACGAGCATGAACGGCAACGAGCAGAACACAAAAACGTGGTTTAGAGCGTAAACGGTACGAACGAGCAAGTAGGTACACGGGGAGCTGGAGCAAGCCCCGACCAGAGCAAAAGCAAAAGTGATGAGACCGCACGAACACGCCGGCGCCGAATCCGGTAACGGCTACCGTGACAGTCTAGCCAACATAGCGTTTGACGGTAAACAGCGCGACCACCGACGGCGGCAGCGGGTAATCAAACGGATCGAACATACTCCCCCTTGCAAGTTCAGCGAACTTGCAACAGACTTCGATCAACCATGATGTAGGTGGCCGAGCAAGTGACCACTTGAACAGTGCAGTTGAGCTGATGGACGGAGCAGTTGAATGAGCACACAAACGGAGCAGTTGAATGAGCAGTGGAACGGAGCAGTATAATGAGCAGTTGAACGGAGCAGTTGAATGAGCAGTGGAACGGAGCAGTTGAATGAGCAGTTGAACGGAGCAGTTGAACGGAGAAGTTGAACGGAGCAGTTGAACAGACCAGAGCGATGATCGGGTTTTTTTTTTACAAAGGGGCAACATCATTAACAGTTTTTTTTTGCAACGAAATATATTAATTTAATAACATTACCAATGGCTAGAGCAATAGCTGGACTAGCATTACAATATTTAACAATAGGAACACAAGTTAAATGATATCACAAACAAAGTCTTTAGTTACATTTTTTTTTTAAATATACAAATATTATAACAGATTAATACCTGAAAATATAACAAAAAACAAACAATAAAAAATACCATACCTCACCTGGTACCCGAGGCAGAACAGCCGACGAAACATCCAGCAGCATGCGTGGTGATGGTTGGTAAGAAAATGAATTATTTACATAATGAGCGTAGCAATAACATACAAATATATAAAGTGCAAATGGATACAGGAAACAGGGACTAAGGGGAGTCTCAATACCTACGGATCTGTGGGGAGAGGTACTAGTTTAACCACTGGTCTGGTGAACACCCCCTGTTTGGTAATAACCTTAGCTACCCGTACCACCTTGTCGGTTCCTGGATACACCTCAATGATTCTTCCTAATGGCCACGATAGCGGAGGCGCATCATTAACCTTGACGATGACCATAGTACCAACTTCGAGATTGATATCAGTCTTCGTCCACCTACCACGAGCTTGGAGGGTGTTCAAATACTCCCGAGACCAACGTCGCCAAAAGAATTGGAAGGACTGCTGGAGGAGCTTCCAGCGAGTCCGCAGTCCCACTTGTGCGCTGGCACTAACAGGTTCTGGGATTGACAACAAAGGGCGACCAATTAAAAAATGACCGGGCGTTAAACATTCCAGATCATTTGGGTCAGATGATGCTGGTATTAGGGGACGCGAGTTCAGAGCAGCCTCCACCCTACACAACACCGTTGAAAACTCTTCTAGAGTCCAAATTTGGGAATTCATTGCTCGAACAAGCAATGACTTCGCCGACTTAACGGCGGCTTCCCAAATTCCTCCAAAACGGGTAGCACCAGGAGGGTTGAAGTGCCATTCACACGCAATATGACCCGAGAACTGATCTCTACTGTCCGGACTATTGACCAATTGACGCAGCTGCCTCGCCGCACCAACGAAATTGGTGCCAAAATCCGAATAGATGGCCGACGGTAAGCCACGGTGACCTACGAATCTATCCAGGGTTAACAAGAAAGCTTCCGTCGAGAGGGCAGACACTGGTTCTAGGTGCACCGCTTTGGTGGTCATACAAACAAAAACAGCGATGTAAACCTTAACGATGCGCGCCTTCCGCAGACTGAGCTCCTTCATTTGCAAAGGCCCTGCGTAATCTATGCCGACTATTGAAAACGGGTGGGCTTCCCGGACCCGGAACCCTGGCAGAGCAGCCATGATGGGTTGTGGATGATCAGCCGACATTTTTGCACATAACACGCATTTTCGAATCACTCGATGAACTATCAGGCGAATGCCAATGACCCAAAATCGTTGTTGTACGAGAGCGATGAGCAAACGCGGTCGAGCGTGACACGCGTAGAGATGCCAATGTCGTGTGATCAGAACGGCTAAATGAGACTCTTTCGGAACTAACATAGGATGCTTTCGCTTCTCCGACCAATTGGAGTTTTGCATCCGTCCGCCAACGCGGATTATACCATCTGAATCCAAGAACGGGCACAGACGAGCTAGCGCCTTGGACTGGACCGGGCTCCCCCGACGCAGGCCGTCTACTAGCTGGCTCAAATAACAATTCTGAGCACTCCTAACGATCACGAGCGTAGCTTCGTCTAATTCAGATTGTTTGAGAAAACCTAACTCGACTTTTCTCTTTTGACACAACCGGATGAACCGACGTACTTGAGCTAGTACGCGGATCATCTGGTGAAAGGAGGAGAACCGAATAAACCATTCGACTGGAGGATCTTCACAAGTCAATAAACACACTGGTCTTACTTCCGGCTGCTCCCCCAATTCTAAGTGCGGGATGTTCAACCACGATAACACTATGGACGAGTCAGACCACTCGAAGACATCAGAAATTCCCAACTGGGACTCTAGAATGCGTTTGAGCCTGGCCAACCATGATGCAAGGAGCAATGCACCACTTAACTCCAGTCGTGGTATTGTCATGGTGTTCATTGGTGCTAGCTTAGTCTGGACGAACTTCCTGACGGCTGTACACCAGCGTTCTCGATAACCTGGATCCTTGCCTTGACAAACTTGATCACACTCTGGATCGATGGATACTCTTCGTTATTTTCAGACTCGAACTGACGTCTAGAAAATGTAGGTAAGCACCGAGCAGCCAACGAGAACAACAAAAACGACGATAAATCCGGAATCTGAAGCGATTCCAAGATCGCAATATTTTCATCAAAAACTGATAGGAACTTCTGCAGAGCAGCATGATTCTCCGAACTTGCGACAGGAGCATTTATCAATTTGTCAATGATTGACGACGCCAACCTGCGCGGTTTGTCATAGCGTTCGACCAACGCATCCCAGGCGAGTGTGAACGACTCGTTCGAAATGGAAAACCCTTTGATCACTTCCTGGGGATCGGGGTGAAGACACCCTACCAAATAATAAAACTTGGTTACATTAGGAATCTTGTCATTATTGGCTACCAAATTGCCGAATAAGTCCCTAAAAGCTGGCCAGTTCTGGCACTCACCGTCGAAATATGGAAGGGGAATTTCAGGTAGTCTCATGGTTGCCGAAGGTGAAGGCGCATATGGTACAGGACAATCTTTGGACGACCCAACAGAAGTACTCGAATTGTCACCGGTGGTCTCATACGTCACTCGCTGAACAGTACCAACGCTCATACATGAAGCTGGTTGCGCTTCATTCCACACAGCCTTAATTTCCACTACCAATGACCGGACCTCAACCTCCAACCCTACCGGAAACTCGGTCAGCAAATCCAAATCAGATAAGATTGACAACAATCCATTATTTTCTACCTCAAAACTGGCCCACAATGCATCCAGGTCCTGAATAGCAACAGCTAACTGAGGCCGAACAGCCTGGTCAGTTGCTAAACTAGAAGCCAGTTGATGAATATGGCGAATCCTAGCCACTATACCATCTCGACGTAGGATTGTTCGCTCCTTAGCTCGAGCATCCCGTTCCGTGTCACCCATGTTACCAACACACTAGTATGCACAAGACAGTCAAACCGCAGTAATCAAACAGAGCAGAATATGATTAGTTGTTGACAGTCAATACGATATAGAACAGATCAAGTGCAAGAGCACAGGCAAGCTCAAACTATTCAATAATTAATATGAAATCGCACAATGCAAAACGTTGAGCAACGATGCCAAATGATAATGATCAAGTAGTAGCAATCAAATTGATTAATTAAAAGTTAGAAGATATAATTGATATAGGCAACACCTATGCAACCACCAACCTACACTAACTATACAGCTGATAAAATAGAATTACAGATCAGAAGATGAACAACGTCAATCAACAATAAACAAATCAACTAATAAAAATATAATATGAACGTTGGTGTAGGCAATAACTAGACAAGCAACTAATTAAACGCTAGCTCACACTCAATATAACAACTAATGACAGTTAAGACAAATTAAAATATTCGGGGAGCACCTACAATAATAATTTAATCAGAACCCAGGTGTGACCGAACAAAGCAATACTAGTTATAATTAATTAATTGATTATAATAACTATGAACTAGAGAAATAAACAATTATGTAGTATATAACCCTTAAACTTCAGTTGAGCAACCCTAAAGAGGATAATATAATACAAACAATAAAAGTAAAAATATTATTATATAAAGTTATAGTACATTACCTGAGCAATGGCACGACCCACGACGCACACCTAAATCTTATGCTATACAAATATATAATAAATATAATAACTAGGTGTACTGACAATGCTACTGTTAAGACTCAACTGTCAACAGCAGACAATAAAATAATAATTAACAACCCAATTAATTAAATAAACTATAATCACTAAGGTAGGTGTTCACTAGACCGGCAACCTGTAAGCAAGAACCTATAGTTATACCCAATATTAAAAAACCAATAAATAAATTCAACCCAGGGAACACTGGTATAATAACATAATTTAATTAATTGTAATAGGTAATTAAAGTAAATTTAAATTAATTAATTATAATAACAACTTAACCGCACGAGCACGGATACAGTGAATATAACTCAACACTAAAATAATAAGTTTAATTATTAAAAATAATGTAACAATTGACTGAGCAGTCGGTTGAGTTAAATTCTTATACCTATATTCTACTAAATAGTACCCACACTATATATACTAATATTGAGACCCCATAATCACAAATATAATAAATAATAAGCGAAGCTAGTAATCTTAATAGCTAAGAGCACTAAGTAGGTAGGAATTAGGAATGGGATAAATAAATTTCAACACTTTAAACTCATATGCTATAGCTACAAACAAAATGCACTACTCACATGTATCCTGAGTACCAGATCTGTTGATGGACCAATCAACCACGCTCTGCTACCAAATGTTTGCGCCGACGATCCTGACTAGCGGTTGTCGTCTGACACACGGTCCTCGGGATAAAGGCGGGGCAGGGCAAATGTTAAATAACAACAAATTGAGTTTTAAGTATACAAATATTGGCATGTATTGAATCTTACATGCACGACAAGTTAATTATATCAATCAGTACACAAGTTACAGGGGGGGAAGGGGAACACCGACTGGCCTGTACTGCTACGAAGTGGACTGGACTTGACGGCTGATGGCTGAACTGCTGATGGAACGCTGAGCTGCTGATCTTCTCGTGAAGTGGTGACACGAACGTGTGTACCGGTGGCGTTGTGCTGCTTTCACTGCGGGTGTGCACCTGAACGCAGGGCAGCGGGCTGACGACTACAGCCAATCTCCTCGTGGAGCGACGGACGATGAACTATTGTAATAGTTGAGCGTAGAACAACGGACTGTGTAGCAACAGTAAAACGGCGTAGGACAACGAAGCACTTATTGAGAAGTAACGCGCGTAATGGCCGACGAACATGAACGGCAAAAACGT